TTGGTTTTAAGGGGGGTCCCGAGGATGCGGTGGGGGTCAGGGAGCCCTTACCGGGTCGGTACCGGCGCGTGCGGGCCCAGCGGCGGCGGCGGCGGCGGCGGCGGCTGCGGGCGTGGGAAGGCGGCGGCGGAGGGGGGGCCTGGGGGGGGCCGGGCCGGACCCGCCCCCCCGGTGAGGGGAGACCCGGCGGGGCCTGGGGGAGGCCGGGCCGGGCCCACCCCCCAGTGCGGGGGGACCCGGGTCTGCGGGTGCGTGTGAACGTGGGCCGGGGGTAGAACTCGGGGGGGCGGTGCATTGGCCCATCCCCCTTCGGTTCCTGGGAAGGAGGTGTGCGGGGAAGGGGGGGGCATTCACACCGGGATCCTCCTTCCTCACACGAGGGGTCCACCGTTCCCCGCTGGTGCCTTCGTTAAGAGGCGAGGGGGTGTGCGAATTTGGTGGTCTCTGGGGGGAAGCGGGGGGTTTCTATGTTCTTTACAGCTCAGAGGTGGAGGGTCCTGCAGCCAGGGCAGGCCAAGACCTAGGACACCCCCCCGCACCAGCTGCCCATGCTGAACCCTTTATTGGGTCCCACCGCCCCCCCCCAGCCCCAACCACCCCTACCCTAAGTACCCCCCAAAAGGGCCCGTGACTTCCTTCCCCCCCAGTCCAACTACTTCCTCAGCCCCAACTGCCCCCCAGGGGGGGCAAACCTCCCAACACCCTCCCACCCCTTCACCTGCCTCTAGGCAACCCCTCCATGCCCCCGAATCCCCCATCCCAAATAAACATGCTCAGCACTGGGGCCGCATCTTTATTGGGGGATGGGAAGGGGGTTGGGAGGTCACAAGAGGGCCTGTGGGGTCAGGGCCCCACGGCTGGGGGGTGGCACAAGGCCCCTCATGCCAGAGGGGTCACTTGTAGAGAATGTCGTAGTGGCCAGGGCGGTAGAGGAGGCAGACACGGGGCTGCGAGCCCTCAGGAAACACGTGCGGGTTTGTGGCGCCGCCCTCGCCCCGGTCCATGTATTCCACTAGGATGGAGACGTGCAGCGCCCGCGCCAGCGCGATGATGTGGATGTGGTCGCTCTCCTTGCACATGGGCTCCACTTCCTGCGGTGGGACGGGGGCCATGGGTGTACAAGGGGCACGGGGGGAGCCGGTGGGCACACGAGGAGGCGCGAGGCTGCGCGACACCTCATGGGGGCTACGGGGAGCCGTTCGAGGCCGGGGGACCACGTGAGGGGCCGGGGGGCAGTGCGAGACCATGCGAGAGGCTGGGGGGCAGCGTGAGGCCAGTGCACACGTGAGGGTGACTGACACCACACGAGAACCTTCACAGATCCCCTGAGTGGTGCGACAGGCTCTGTGGGGCCCAAGTGGCACTCGTGTGAAAATGTGTGAAGCTGAGAGGGGCCCTAGAAGGTGCTGGGTAGCCTGTGTGAGGCCACGTGACACCCTGTGAACCCTGCATGAGTCCTGCGTGAGTCCCACACAGCCTGCGTGAGCCCCAGGAGCCCACACGAGCCCCTTGTGAGGTGTGAGTTCTCTGAACCCCGTGCCAGCCCCGCGTGCCCCAAACCTGCTGGCAAAACTCCCGTGTGCCCCGTGCCAGCCCCATGTGCCCCCATGCCCCAAACCTCCTGGCAGAACTTCTGTGTGACCCATATGTCGCTGCCACGGTGACAGAACTCCCATGTGCCTCATGCCAGCCCCGTCTGCACCTACTACGATAACAGAAACCTTGTGTGCCCCACATGCCCCATACCTGCTGATAGAACTGTGTGCCCCCCTGTGCCCCATACCTGCTGGCAGAATTCCCATGTGCTCCTGCTGATAGAACTCCCACGCGCCCCGTGGAAGCTCCACATGCCCTGCGTGCCCTGATGCGATGACAGAACTCCTGTGTGCCCCACATGCCCCATACCTGCCGGCAGAGCTCCCGTGTATTCCCTGTACCCCTGCTACGGTGACAAACTCCCACGTGTCCCACGCCAGCCCTGTGTGCCCTAAGGGCATGTGTGCCCTTGAACTGATGACAGAAGTCCTGTGTACCCCACATGCTCTATACCTGTTGGCAGAACTCCTTGATGCTGCGGCCACCCTCGAGGAACTGCTCAAAGAAGCGGCGGTGGCGCTGGAGGCAGCCCGAGGTCAGCAGTCGCAGGTAAACCACCAGGTAGTCCGAGGTTGCCGGTTCGTTGAAGGCCGCCAGCAGCTCTGGCAGCGGCACACGGCGCTCCACACGCTCGATTAGCTCCATCAGCTGCAAATGGAAAGCACAGATGCGTATTGGGGCACACACACACACATGTGTGTCAGGGACACGTGCACACGTGTGTGTCATGGGGGACACACACGTGTGTCACAGAGGCAAACACCCAGGTCAGGGGCGCACATTCGTGAGGGGCACGCACACACGCGCTAGGAGCACAAACAGGATGCGTGTGTGTCAGGTGCACGCACGTGTGTCGGATGGCACACACCAGGGCCCATGCCAGGTCACAGGGACACCCATTCACCCCGTGTGCTCCCCATGCCCACCGTGTTGTGGAAGTCCTCGATAGTGAACTCAGTGAAGCCTTGTGCCACCAGCTCCTCCTTGCTGCGCGCTGACACCTCCTTGAACCTGGGGGGACATTGGGGGCCCGGGGAGGCTTAGGAGGCTCAGGGGGGACCCAAAGGGGTTTGGGATGGGGGGGGGGGGGGG